GTGCCGTCAAGTCAGACCCAACTCATAGAGATCCCCCCTTGGGTTTCCGAGGCAGTATCACTACGGAAGTAGATTGCCCCATCTTCCTTCCGAGGAGTGGTTGGTGGGTTTGAACCGCCAGCCTTCTGGTTAGCAGTCAAGTGCCTTAGGCACTACGCTATCAGAGCTCCTTAAACTTTTTTTTTAGGGTGATGCAAATAAAACTCCAAATGATTAATAAATAGGCTGGTGAGCTTCTGGACCACAGCTCCTTCAGAGATTAAGAACATCCTTACTATTAATTCAGCCTGAGTTTGTATAAAGTTTTCAATAGACACATCACATTGTTTTAATCATCTTGAGCTGTGACCAATAAAATAAGAAAATAACAAAATGTTAGATGTGGAGGAAATCTAAAGATATCACTCAATGTGATCATTATGGATAATGATCCAATGAGCCAAGTCTCTGTCTGCCCTGATAAGGCTATACCCTTCACAAAGCTAGGTTCGTTCTCTCAGCAGGTGCTCGATGACAGGGGGGAGTATGTATAGTTATTTGTTATTCCTTGTGTTGAAATCAAGTTGTGACAATAATCATGGGCTCAGACAGGTTCTTTTCCATCAGGTTGCATTATTCATCCCTGGAAGCAGTACTGGAATGGAACATAATAGGTTTTCACATACTATGAGAGGTAAAGAATAAGAGAGAGTGGCACACACCAAGTGTAAGTATTGTGATCCATGGATAAAGCTTTCCAGGGAAGAACGAGTAGAGTGGGGTAAACAAGAGAGGCCCGATCTCTTGGCTTTGGTGGTGATTGTCCTTACTGAAATGAACATTAAGGACAATTTGAAGGATTGGCAGGAGCTGATTTGGAAGCTTTTATGAAAGGAGATGTATATGTATATGTATATGTATATGTATATGTATGTATGTATGTATGTATATCCAAAACCAAACCCACTGCCATCGAGTTGATTCTGATTCACAGTGACCCCCCTCGGGTTTTGAAGGCTGTAAATCTTCGTGGAAGTAAAGTGCCTTATCTTCCTCCCTCGGAACAGCTGGTGGTGGGTTTGAATCACTGACCTTCTAGTTAGCAGCAAATGCTTTCATCACTATATATACCTATATATCTATGTATATTTATATAACTATATATATCCATATCTCTATATTTAGATGGGAGCTCTGGTAGCATAGTGCCTAAGGCACTTGATTGCTAACCAGAAGGCTGGCAGTTCAAACCCACCAGCCACTCCTTGGAAGGAAGATGGGGCAATCTACTTCCATAGTGATACTGCCTCAGAAACCCAAGGAGGGGTTGCTATGAGTCGGGTCCGATTCGATGGCACATAACAACAACATATCTAGATATAGATATAGAGATATAGATATAGATAGATCCATTCTCCACCAAGAAAAGACACTTCCCTGATACCTAGGAAAGTAACTTAAAGTAACTTGTCAAACTGTGATGAAGGAAGAACATAGCAGTGATGATAATGATGATTTAACATTTATTGAATCATTAATATGTTCGAGACACTGTGCCAAGTACTTCATGAGTAGTATCTCATTTTGACCTTAGTACAACTCTGTGAAGTAGGTTCTATTTTTAGCACCATTTTACAGAAGAAGAAATGGATGTTCAAAGAAGTTACAGAGCTATTAAGTGGCATGCCTGAAATTTGAACCAAGATTCCAATTTGAAGCTGAAATTCTTAATCACCTTCCTAGAGCCCTAATCTGATTACTGGGCTTATCTAGTGATTAGCAAGCAGCCTCATGACTGAGCCCTTCCCTTCCAGCTTTGAAAAGGAAAAAACAGTTGCCCTCCAGTCAATTCCAAATCATGGTAACCCCCTGTGTCAGAATAAAATTGGGCTCCATATGGTTTGCAAGGGTTGATTGTTTTTAGATCACCAGACCTTTCTTCCAAGGAGCCTCTGGGTGGACTCAAACCTCCAACCTTTCTTTAGGAGAACGGGATAACCATCTGCACCTGCCACGGCCTCACTGAAGAGGAAGTTGCTAACACACAGTATACAGAGAGGTATGCCTCATAGTCTCAACTCCAAAGCCTAGGTTACACTACTAGTATGGTACTAGTACCTAACTTCTTGTTGTTGTTGTTATGTGCCATGGAGTCGGACCTGACTCATAGTGACCGTCCTTGGGTTTCTGAGGTGGTGGCACTACAGAAATAGATTGCCCAACTTTCCTTCCAAGGAGTGGCTGTTGGATTTGAAACGCCAGCCTTCTGGTTAGCAGTCAAATGCCTTAGGCACTAGGCCACCAGAGCTCCCACCTAACTTATGGATACCTTCATATAAGCCTGGTCCTATTGAACCATCTTCCCAGGCCCTGCACTTGGCATCACAGAAAGATGGTGCCAATTCCCCTTTCCCTAAAGATGACTCTGTCAGTGGATGATGGATGTTCAAATCAGATTTCTGTGCAATTTCCTCTTTGATTTTTCTCCAGGATTATTTCTAGTTCACTTGCTAAAAAGCAAATCCATCATGCAGTAGAAATACAGTGGAATCCTAAATTTAGGCAATAGTAAACAGCAATATTAACATGATTGAGAAATATGGTTTTAAGGAGAACATCATTTACCCAAAGTCTCAGTGAGTAAGACATAACTTTAACAACTTAGAAGGGATGACGGTGTTCACCCATCCCATATTTAGGGTCTGTCCATATTTAGAATGGAAATGATTGTCATAATATTTTTATAATTACCACTCAATTTTGAAGTGAAGAAAAATTCTAATCATTCTAAGATTGCTTGTGCCTAGAGATCCATTTCAAGCTATAGGTCTGGAAACTGATGTGGATTCAAAAAGAGCCAGTGTTTAACATAGACCAGGGAAAGAACGGTGGGCCTAGAACAGTGTCTTCTGAAGCAACTCCATCTCACTAGCCTTGCGATGACCCCTGCAGATGACCTCTAGATGACCAAATCTCAGTTTACAGTCAGGGACGTTGGACAAAGATCTGAAATATATTCACTGATGATATTCCTTTAAAGCCTTTCAACTTTAGGCTTTCTCTTGTCAAGCCCCTTTGGATTCCACTCCCAATTTCACCATTAAAAAAAAACAAAACTCAAACAAGTTGTCAAGTCAATTCTGACTCATGCAATTCCATGAGTCAGGGTAGAACTGTGCTCCAGAGTGTTTTCAATTGCTGATCCTTTGGAGGTACATCACCAGGAGGTTCACTAGAACCTGCAAACTTTTGGTTAGCAACCAAAAGCTTAATGGTTTACACCATCTAGGAATGCCCAACCTCATCATAGTGTCAAATTAAACTCACTCTAACTTGAAAGTTTATGCTGTAGCCCACACCAAAAATGTGAAATTTAAGCAGCCTCAAAATACTCCAAACTTGAACTTGGAACAAAATCATCCATCAGATCTTTTCTAATTAAATTGGCTTAAATTAAAGCTTAATGTCAAAATCAGAACCTGATCATAGAAACCCAAACACAGATGGTGCCAGGTTTTCTTGTGTGTGACCTCCACCCTATGTTCACTTTCACAAAGGGGTTTCTGTTCAGTTATACATTATTCTCTAACAAAGTAAGGGCAAAGCTCTAAGTGTCAGTTATGCTTACCCTTCAAGGTGAGTATGAATAAAAGTACTATGTGCTGGTTCCTCATCCAGAGTTCCTGGAACTGATCCTATGCTGCAAGGAAAGAGGGCAAACAGAAGGGGTTGCAACCCAGGAAATCACGTCTAGAAAACTGTAACCATCATGAGGTTTGCAGAAGTGTTAACCAACGTGATGAAAAGGACTCGACTTTTCAGCAACACAGTTGTGTGCCTACTCACTTTTGAAGCCAAAGGTGCCTGTTCTACAACATCAGTGATGCTCAAAATGGCAGTTGCACCAGCAGCCACAAAGCAGCACGTGGGACCCACTAGAAATCAGTCTCAGACCCTACCTTAGAATCACAGAACCAGAAACTCTAGGAAATGGGCTCAGTAATTGATTTTAACAAATCCTCCAGTTGATTCTGATATCCACCAAAGCTTGGGAACTCCAGCCATATACTGACATATCCCTTTAAATCAAGCTCTGAAAACAACTGAAGATGAAATCACCTAATTTTGAAATCAAAGGGCAGGTAATATTGCTTGTTCATTTCATTAATTTAGCTACTGAAATACCACTGAGGGTTCTGTGTTTCCTCAGAAATAATATAAAAGATATTTGACTTGTCAGATTATTCTCATAAACGTATTCTGTTAGATATAAGAGTTTAAGCATTACTCTACTATCTGCCTCAAGTTTTGTTATTTTTCAAAATTCTGAACTTTATTTTGGTTTCCAGCCCCCTTTGCCTGGAAGAGATTACATTTGGTGATTATATAGAAAAATGGTGACGTATTTATCGTTTAGGCTTTTCCAAGATTGCTTATTCATGAGCACTTCAGAGCCAATGGGTAATGTTTCCAGGTGAAGTCTACTATATTGGCTTGGGGAGAGACGATTCAGAAACTAACATTCAGCAACAGAAGATAATTATCAACCATTACATTAAAAAGAGACTTTATTGCATTTTTGATTTTTATAATTTAGTTTGCTTATGGCTTATAATTTCACAGAAAAAAAAAGTATTATTGCTTCATAGTATTTGCAGCAGATTTTATCCCTTTAGGGATCCATCTACTTCAAATAGTACAAACATTCTTGATCAGCGAAGCAATGTGTTTTTGAAAGCTTACTAGAATTAGTTCAATATTTACTAATTATTGAAAACAGTATGATTTCTATCACAATGTCAGAAACTAAAAACAAAGTTTCGATTTGGACACTCTCATCTTTAAATATTTACAAAACCAAAATTCTATTATAAAATTAATAAGTTAATGAACTAAAATGCACATTCGTTACCTAAGATAAAAAATACTTAACTTACTAATTGCTATATAGTACAGAAAAAGAAATAGGTGAGACCATATAAGTTTATTTTAGAAGAACTTTGAGAATCCTTACAAAGTCTTTATATTTTAATATTTTGTTCATATAAAGCCAACAGTAAGAGAGAAAGCCAACCTAAGATCAATCCGAGGTTCTGCAGGAGAAACATCAACCAGGGTCGCTGTGTTTGAACATGAGTCATTTCAGGAAGCTAAAAAAAGAATGAAAAACCAGAATAAGATCCAGATATATTCACTGCTGGGAAAAAGTTTGGTGGGAAAACATGAGATATTCTGTTGTTCGGAACTTAGTAACCTTTAAAATTCCAAAAACAGTTACAAAATTCTTAAAACCTACTCTTAGCATAATTTTAAAGTATAAGTTAAATTAAGCAATTTGATTGTACTTTTCAAGAAGATAGTTAAAGAGCCTAATATGTTGCTGTTGTTGTTGTTGTTGTTATGTGCCGTCGAGTCGGCCCCGACTCATAGCGACCCCTCCTTGGGTTTCCAAGGCAGTTATCACTACGGAAGTAGGATTGCCCAACCTTCCTTCCGAGGAGTGGCTGGTGGGTTTGAACCGCCAGCCGTCTGGTTAGCAGGCAAGTGTCTTAGCCACTATGCTACCAGAGCTCCTATGTTGCTAGAAGGCTTTAAAAGACATGGTTATCAACAGAAAAGCAAACCCATAGTCTTGTTTCCAGCAAATGTTTAAATGTGGAATTGATAAATATATGTTGCTGTTGTTGTTATGTGCCGTTGAGTCAGACCCAACTCATAGCGACCCCTCCTTGGGTTTTGGAAGTGGTATCACTACTGAAGCTGTTTGCCCAACCTTCCTTCCGAGGAGTGGCTAGTAGGTTTGAACCGCCAGCCTTCTGGTTAGCAGTCAGATGCCTTAGGCACTATGCTACCAGAGCCCCGATACATATATGGAAGGTACTATACTAGTCTGTTCTGTCAGATTTATGAAGTCTCTAAGTGCAAGAATTATTACAAAGCATTTTTCTTCTTTTCAAAGAGATGACTCAAGTCCTGCTGACCTTTGTAACAATAAAAACATGATCTCTTATTGCTATTTTTTATTCCCAGAGAGAGAGTGCAATGTTTGTGAAATGCCATATCACCATATAGAAGAAAATGTTCTCTTAAGAACCTGTGTGAAGTACCCCAATGTGCTTCTATCTTATTTTATTTCAAATCCCTCACTCAGAAAAGGTCAGAATGAATATACCTCTTCTAGGACATTTTCATTTCTATTGGACTACAGACTCTAGGTCAACAGATTAGAGAACTAGCTCCTCTAATGCAAACAGATTATCCCAGGGTTTCTGAGCCTGCACATTATTAACATTTTGGCTAGGTAATTTTTAGATGCAGGGAGCTCTCCTATGGGATTTTTATTAGCATCTCTGGCCTTTACTCACTAATGCTAACAGCACTCCCAACTCTAACCTACCACCCTCTCCCAGTCATACTGAAAAAAGTCCTCAAACATTGCCAAAGGCTCTGGGGAGGGGACAGGACAAAATCATCTCCCATTGAGAACTGCTGAACTATCTTATCTAGCACTAAAACGTCAACATATAAAATATGTGAGGAGTTCAGAATTATGGAGTACCTGGATGGTGCAAATGGTTAACATGTTCAACTGCTGACAAAAAGGGTAGGGTTCAGCCTACCCAGAGGCACTCCAGAAGAAAAGCCTAGCTCTCTTTCCAAAAATTCAGGCATTGAAAATCTTACAGAGCACAATTTTTCTCTGGCATATCTGGGGTCACCACGAGTCCATCTACTCAATGACAACAGATAGGAATCGTAGCTACATTTACAGCAACAGGGAGACAGGTTAACACACTTTTAAATGCCTTTATAGGATCATATTAAATGGTCCATTTTGGTGTGCTGGACATGGATATTTCTTCCCTTTTAATGAGCTAACTCCGTGAAATGAGCATTGGGTGACCTGCTACCCAACACCTTAGCATGCAGCATTGGGCTAAGTAGGACCCAGATTGTCCAGGACAGATGGCCTTAAACACAGTAAGTCCTTTTCTGGTGTTTTCTGTTTTTGCCATGTTTAAACATGACGTTCACCATGCAACTTTAGAGAAATCCTATATGATTCATTAATTATTATAAATTTACAAGAATTCCATTTTGTAAATTCATAGAATGTAGGTAAAACATAACCATATGCTTCAAAGCTTGTAGTAAAATGAGTTAGCAAAAGGAAATGGAAACATTTTAATTTAAATAAATGTTTAAATGTAATCATAGCAAGTTTCTCATATAGTTAACATTGGGTTTATGATTAACTTTTCCATGATTTTTTATTTAGTATATGATCCTCTACCATTCTGGAAGCTCTTATAAACACATATATTCAATTTTATGATGTGTGAGACACTGCAAGAAAACAGCGAGCCCATAAGCTTGGGTTAGCAAGAAAAATACTACAGCAAACAATTGTGTTTAAAAATTGTGGCATTTCTGAATTTGGGCAGGAGTGAAACTGCTTGAGATATTATAATAATTCCCAAGACACTAATTCTAGCTCTGTGTTTTTGTATCTAAAACTTTTGGTTATTAACTCTCTCCTTGTCAAGGACCAGATGTTCCCCAAACAGAGACCTGAAGTGGAAGTTTGAGGCAAAGATGGAAATTAGAAAATTTGCTTTCTAAAATGTAAGTTCATTAAAATATTGATTTCAAAATTTATTTCAAGTTCTATCATTGTACCAGAACCATTTTCACCACTATATTTATATTTTATCTGAAATATTTTTCTCTACAAGAATCCATGCATGAGGGTTAAATAAACAACCCATAAATATTTTTCTAAGACTTTGCCAAGAAAAACATTTTCTAGAAACCACTTCCACTAATTTATCAATGATGAACAACAGCCAGGTAGCCCTGCTAACAATAGAGGTAAGACAAGATGTTAATTCAGCCACATTTTATAAATGAGAGTTAATTATCTTGTTTGGAAAAATAGGGAGAAGAAGGAACTATGCAATGTTTTATTCCAATATTTGGAAATAAGGTTAATCAAAGTTCGAGGATTTTAAATGACCAGAGATTGTATAATTTTATCTTCCAGATAGAGTTTGAGATACAGTCTTCTAAGGCAGAAAGAAATCAGTTGCATTTGAACTTGTCTTAACTTGGGATAAACTATTGAAAATTACTTACAAACTATTGAAAATCAGAAATATTTGGATACTCCAATGCATGTATCCTGTTAATCCCTCATGAGTATAACATTAATTACATGCTCTTTGAGAACAAATGCTATCCCTTTTCCACACATACAAACTTAAATATAACCTATAATGCTGTCATGCTCATTGTGGATGTTGGACTAACATCATTACAGTAGTGGATATACAAGTCCCTAGGTGGTGCAGAAAGTTTGGACTCAACTTCTAATCTAAAGGTTGGTGGTTCAAATCCATCCAGCATTACTGTGGAAGAAAAGGCCTGGTGATCTGCTTCTGTTAAAATTATGGCCAAGAAAACCCTTTAGAACAGTTCTGCTCTGTAACAGACAGGGTTGCCATGAGTTGGAACTAACCTGACAGCAAAACTACAGTGAATACACGAAGTCCATACAAAGATCAGATCTCTATGTAAAATTTTCCCTCCTCTATTAAAACCAATATATTTCTGCCTAGTTAGGAAAAATAGAAAATTCCAATGCAAAAAAAAAGTCCAATTAGGCATAAAGTATCACTGCATATACATATATGATTAAAATAAATAATTCAATATAAAGATACCATGCAAAAGATATCAATCACATCACTGGTTTTGTGTTTTTAAGACAATGTACACTTAAAAAAATCTGTGAAAAAAGACTAACATAAAAACCTATAAAATGAACAGTAATAATCAAAATTTCAAAAAATTTAAGGAGATGCTCATTTTGATATCCTGATACAGAAGCTTCAATCTAGATTTGAGGGGCCTATCAGAACTTTCCATATCTACATACAATCTGTTTGGAAAGAAAACCCAGCTAAGCCAGTTTCTGAGACAATACTTGGCTCTTTTTAGCATGATTACAGATGAACATATGAACCATAATATCTCTTGGACATATACCAAAATACCAGAGATTACCACAGAAAGTCTTTCCAAAAGATACAAATACAATATAAAATACCAAAGCTCAAACCACATCTGATTACAATATTCCACCTCCTCGGAATCCTCTGAAGGTGAAAAATTTCACCTCTTCAGAGTCAGTAAATTTTGAAAGAAATTAAAGATCTACAGGAGCTCTGGTAGCCTAGTGCCTAAGGCATTTGACTACTAACCATGAGGCTGTCAGTTCAAACCACCAGCCACTCCTCAGAAGGAAGGTCAGGCAATCTACTTCTGTAGTAATACCACCTTGGAAACCCAAGGAGGGGTCCCTGTGAGTCAGGTCTGACTTGATAGCACATAACAACAACAACAATAACATGAATTCATTTTCAAGGGATATATTTTAGAAGTCCTTTTTTTTTTTTTTTTCATGTTTTAAAAATTCCTAACAACAGTTTAAGCACCACCATTACCCCCTGGCTTTCAATAAAGAAAAATCCCCTTCTTCCTCTAAATCGAAAACCAAAACCCAGCCTGATGCCACTGAGTCAACTCAAACAACTCATACTGACCTTTTTTTTGTGTGTGTGTGACCTTATAGGACTGCCCCACAGAATTTTTAGACTGTAAATCTTTACGGAAGCAGACTGTCACATCTTTCTTCAGCTCTTTTTCCTCTCCAAACCCAAAACCCACTACCATCGAGTCAGTTCTGACTTACAGAGTCCCTAGAGGACAGAGTAGAACTGTCCCATAGACTTTCTAAGGTTACCATCTTTACGTGAGCAGACTTTCACATCTTTCACCTCTTTTTTCCTCTCAAAAAAAAAAACAAAACAAAAAACCCCAAAACCAAACCTGACTCATAGCAATTCCTCCTTGGGTTTCTGAGGCAGTATCTCTCTGGAAGTAGATTGCCCAATCTTCCTGCCAAGGAATGGCTGGTGGGTTTGAACCACCAGGCTTCTGGTTAGCAGTCAAATGTCTTAGGTACTACGCCACAAGAGCTCCCGCTTTTTCCTCTAGGGCACCTAAATTCTATTATTGAACAGTTTTACTGACCTTGATTTATATCCTAAGACTCAAAGGGGTGAAATAATGGATAGAGTATGTTGAC